CATTAAAAATAGTAAAGTAGATCAGTATACGGGGATATGGGAAGAAAGCCATGATGTCTTAAGAGGAAAGAAAAGATTACCCATTTTTATTCAAATGTTGTGTGCACACATGTGTATGGCATTAAAAATTACACTAAAATAAAATTCACTTCCTCAGCCACATTAGCCATGTTGGAAGTGCTCACTGACCACATGGCTAGCAGCTACCACCTTGGACAGCACAGATCTAGAACATTTCCGTCCTCTCAGCAAGTTCTGGGCAGAAAGCTTCTCGACACTAAGTGTCCCGAGTGAAGCCTTTTTCACTTTGTATGTTATAGATTTATGTGCATGTTTACCTTTTTTTTATGATAAACAAGTAGGTGTGCTATTATCAGAAAAATAGGAACACAGGGGATTTCCAAGCTAACATCCTGTTAAGCAGGTGGAAGTTTATCATTGTTTACGATACATATATTTGTGTGTGTGTGTATAAACTCTTTTCTACATACATTGCGTAATGAAAATATTTTAACATATATAGGGGAAGAATTTCCTGGCAGTGCAGGCTTGAGGTTGGAAGACTCGGGGCCAGATCTAGGTTCCCTGCCCTAACCGCCTCCCAGCCGTGGCCAAATCACGTAGCCTCAGTTTCCTGACCTGACAGGATCCCTACTCGACCTGCCTTGCAGGGTTAGGGTAAGATTTACGAGTGTGGTGATGTGTGGAAACACTCTTAAACTCAGGGACGGCCACACAGAGGTGAAGGGTCAGTAAATAAGTGTGTTGCCCAAGGCGTGAGGGGGCAAGGCCTCAGCAATCTGGGACCACCATGGCAGCTTGGACACCTTGCGTTCTTCCGAGCGGAGAGTTTTCCAGATGTCAGTAAGGTTGCCAGAAACGGGGAAGTGTTGTTTTGTTTCCACTGCTGCCATTACTTGGAGATTTAGAAATGACAAGTGATCTTATTTGTTTAACAAGCACTTACCTAGCTGTTTGCTGTTTGCCATGGGCTGTCCTCTCTAAGTGCTTTACAAATATGTGCTCATTTTATCCCCCTACAGGGCTGAGGTAGTCACCATTAGCATGCTCATTTCACGCAGAAGGATGTCAAGGCTCAGAGAAGTCAAGTAACTTACACAAGGTCACACAGCTGGTGAGGAATGGGGTGTCTGACTAAGGCAGCCCACACTTTCTCCTTTCTTCCCTTCTCCTCATGGCTCCTCTTGCCCTTGTAAAATGTGGTCGTAGAGTTCCTTATGTCCATTTATCTGTCTCAGGGGCATGAGATTTAAACTTGGATATGAAATCTCAGGAGTGGGTGTTCTTGACTGACTTGGTAGCTTCTGGTTCCTGGCTGATTTTGGTAGCATGACAAAGTGGGGATAGGCTATAGAGTCAGTCTGGACACCAGTCAACAATCTGCCACCTCACTTTGTGACTTCCAGCAGATTACTTTGGTCTTGAAGTGGGGTTTTGTGAGAGTCGTAAGTTCACCTGCTGTGACACGCAGGCCGTCGGCACCTCATGAGTTCCCGTCCTTCCTTCATCTGTGTCTTGGGCAGTGAGTTTAGGCTTGAGGAGACGGAGACGAGAAGTGCCCGTGACTCTCTAAGGAGGTTATAGAATGGCCTAGGTGGGGCCTGAGGAACTTTCTAGATCGGGAGTCGGGGAACCTGAGTTCTAGCCACCCCAGAGACACTGGACAAGCTGCTGTGCTCCTCTGGACTTCGCTTTGCTCATCTGTACACGGGGGCCGCATCGGTCTTGTCGTTTTCTCGTTTGTCATGGTTAGGTCAGGACCAGCTTGTGCCCGAGGGGCCAGCGCGGTGCAAGCAGGTGGATACGGGGGGCGCCCGCTTTTCCCTTCAGGCTGCTCCTGTCCGCGCTGCCAGGGCCCCCTCCGCCGTGCTCTGGGGAGGCCTCCTGACTCCCTCCGGAAGCAGGAATGATGGAAACAAAGGCCACTTCCGACGGTCTTCGGCCAGCCGGGGTCTGAGGGTGGCAGGTCCTGCAGGTGAGAATGGATTTGGAGGCAGCTGCTTGTGTGTCACCGGGCAGCCAGTGACAAGGTTGTGGGGGCTGCGCTCATCGTTCTTCGGGCTGAAATTTACCCTTGTTTGAAAGGGGCCGTGGGTGGATGGGGCTGCCCGCCTGTGGGCCTTGCTGGATACGCACACGGCCTGGAGTGCGAGGCCTGGGGCTGCTGACTGAGCCGTGGAGGGAGACAGGAGCCAGCCCCGTGGTCCTCTGTGTCGCACAGCCTCCTGGGGAAGTGGCGGTTTCAGCAGGAAGCCGGGAAGTAAACACCTGGACGACCCATTCAGCTCACCTTTCTGCTTCCCTGTTCAAGTGCCCCTGAGTGGGAGGCAGCTCCGTCACCTCAAGTCTCAGGTCCTCGAAAAAGGAGGTAATATCCTGTAATTGCACAGACGTATTGCCCTTAGCAGGCCCATTTAAAGAAGGGCAGCGAAATGGATCCTCTTTTAATAGTGTGACCTTTACCGGGCAAGTGAAATCCCAAAGCCAGCCCGTGGAAGGATTCTGAAGGGCCTCCGTGGTTTTATTTCTTCTTTGCCTCGTCGGATGATTCGCAAAGATCTTGCCAAATTCCAGGGGCACTTGTGTAGTCGTTGAGACTTGGAAGCGGAGCAGGCCTATTTTGATTTCTGTGGTACGTATTGATAAATTTTAGTCACCGTGGGTTCATCCTGAGAAGCAAGTGGAGGGGCAGAAGACTACAGGGGAATGGTACACAAGTCGGCTTTCCTTTCAAAATGTAAGACATAGTACCAGTCATTTCTTTTTTGCAAGTTCATTGTCAGTGTGCCCGCGGTCTGCATACAATGTCTGGCACGTCTCAAGCCCTCTCGATGGATTGCCTGGATGCCCGTCTCCAAGCCCCAGTCCTTTGCCCATAGGAGCCGTGTCGTTTCCCTCTCCTGCTTCCCCTGCTTGTGCTCTTGCTCTCTCTCTCCCTCAAATAAATAAATAAATCTTAAAAAATAAAAGAGAGAGTCCGAGACTGAAATGACAGGAGCAGAGGTGCTGCGGAAAGCGAGCTTCGGGTGTGCTGTTCTGCTGGGCACATCACATGATCTCGTGTCTCCTCTCTTCAGTCCTGTGCAGGTGGCCCTGCTAATAACCTTGGACTCTTGGACTCCATGTGCCCCAGATCATGCAGCTGGGGAGGGGCCTGGTTAAGCCTTGAACCCGGGTTCACTCCAGAGCCATTGCTCTTAACTGCAAAGCCATAAAGTCCTGGGAACTGCTCAGAGGACAGTATCCTTGAACCCAGCCCTGCAGGGTAAGTTAGATTTAGATAAGCAGAGAGGAAAAGGAAGGGAATTCTGGGCAAGGAAAGCAGTAAAAGTGGTCAGAAGCTAGGGAGAGGGACGAAGCATGGCGTGGAACCACGCCTACCGGTTGTAAGCTCCACAGGGCAGTGACCATGTTGTCCAGAGCCACCACTGTATCCCAGTGAGTACCTGGGTGAGTGATGGGTGCGTAGTGTGCAGTCAATAAATATTTCTTGAAAATAGAACCACCCTATGATCCAGCAGTCGCACTACTGGATATTTACTCCAAAAATACAAAAACGCTAATTCAGAGGGATACATGCACTCTTATGTTTATAGCAGCATTATCTACAAGAGCCAAATTACGGAAGCAGCCCAAGTGTCCCATCGACTGATGAATGGATAAAGAAGATGTGGTATCTAAAGACAAGGGAATATTACTCAGCCATCAAAAAGAATGAAATCTTGCCATTTGCAACGACATGGATGGAACTAGAGTGTATTATGCTAAGTGAAATAAGTCAATCAGAGAAAGACAAATAACATGATTTCACTCATGTGGAATTTAAGAAACAGAACAAATGAGCAAAGGAAAAATAAAAGAGAGGGAGGCAAACGAAGAAACGGACTCTTAACTATAGAGAACAAACTGATGGTGACCAGAGGGGAGGTGGGGAGGGATGGGGGAAACAGATACGGGGATTAGGGGGTGCACTTGTCATAAAGAGCCCTGGGTGATGTGTGGAAGTGTTGAATCACTATATTGTACAGCTGAAACTAATACTCTATGCTAACCATACTGGAATTAAAATTTATTAAAAAAACCCAAAAAATAAAATCAGGAAAAAAATATTTGTTGTGCGTATGAATACACAGAAAGTTCTCTTCTCAGTAGACCTTGAGCCTTTTGAGGGCAGGGATTATGTTTTAGAAATCTTTGGATGCTCCACAGCTCCCAGTGGTTAATAAATAATGAACACTCAGCAAATATGTTCTGATGGAAGGAATGAATGAACAGCAGGTAAGGGATGGGGAGATGTGCCTGAGTGAAGAGGCATTGATGCTTTGGGAAATACTGAGCAATACACATGGGCTGGCATGCTAAATGCAGATCATGGAAGGTCTTTAGTGCCAGGAGAAGGAGCTCCTGTGTTCTTTTTGAGGCATTTTGTAAAAAGCCATCTCTTTTTTAAGATTTTATTTATTTATTTGAGACAGAATGAGAGAGGGAGAGAGAGCACATGAGAGGGGGGAGGGTGAGAGGGAGAAGCAGGCTCCCCGCCGAGCAGGGAGCCCGATGCGGGACTCGATCCCGGGACTCCAGGATCATGACCTGAGCCGAAGGCAGTCGCTTAACCGACTGAGCCACCCAGGCGCCCATAAAAAGCCATCTCTTAATGCACAACGATGCAGGGTCTACAGAAACCCAGCCAGTGCCCAAACTTTGACTGGTATTTATAGGAACCACAGTGAAGCACAGCTGAGAAATCACCTTTCTGTAAGATTGCCTTAACCTATGCCCATTGTCGCTGCCTTCCCACCTTGGGGTAAGCACAGTGTTACAGTCAAAAGTGGGAATGGGAGCCGGTGGGGTATGGATGTTATTGCAGGGTCCTGGAGTCTTCTTTGAAAAAGTGTGGCTGGAAAATCCCAGCCAACCTCCTCTAAGAAATGATCTGCTCAACCTGGGAGTTTTCAATAAACACTGCCCTCTCTTTTCAGATGTTGGCTAAATTTGTGGTTTTAAGAAAGCCTGACGGCCGGAGGGCAGCTCTGGGAGAAGCCCTTCCCAGGGGCACTTGGAACCTTCTGGTCCAGAGGAGAAGGTGTCCCCTCACCTGGACTTATGACCCGCGGCTTCGCTCCCAGTCTACCCACTGAGTTCCACAAGATGGGCTCCTTCCGCAGGCCCAGGCCGCGCTTCATGAGCTCCCCGGTGCTCAGCGATCTGCCCCGATTCCAAGCAGCCCGGCAGGCTCTGCAGCTGAGCTCCAACTCGGCCTGGAACAGGTAACGGAAGGGAGGGGGGGAGCGGGGGGGAGGCGATAGTCGTGGAGTGGAGGGCTGCCAAGGGCCAGAGCAGGGCTTGGGGACAGGCTTAGCTTCTGCTCCTTCGGAGAGCTCTGTTCCAGAAGGTCATGATTATACATCTAGGCCGTTGATGAAGACAGCATGTTTCCCTGTGGACAATGTATTCCCTGGCTTCCCTTGTTTGAGGAGAGAGGAGGGGGGTCCCTGGGGGCCTCTGGGCTACCAGAGTCAGTTAACCGGATTGGAATTTACAGTTACTATTCATGTTCCTTAGTCACACCCCAGACTATTCGAGTACCAAGGGGTGGGGCCGTGTAAGTAACCTCAAGTCACCTATTATATGTCTGGGAAGATAAGACACATATCTGTGGAAAGCCAAATGAGTGGTATAAACTGGGGACTCTCGGTACCTGTGAGCCACAGGTGGATGGGAAAGGGGACACTGCGCTTTTCTGTGGTGTCTGGCCAACGTTTTGTAGGCCAAGCATTGAGTAGAGACTGAATCAACACTATGTTTTGAATCCCTGTGGGCTGCTCTTTTTCATATCTAGCAGTTACTCTTTGGATGAATTAAATGCATCATTATTTTAAAGCATTACTGGATTCTTTGTACTTTGAATCATCTTGGATTGTCTCATTTTTGCACAACTCTTATTATGATGGGGGTGAAGAGGGGCTCTGACATGTTTTGCTGTGAATGGATCTGTGTTCTTTTAAAAAAAAGACCTGGGATCCTTGATAAAGACGAGATTATAATCTGCTCCTTGCTGAAATATTGGGCTGGTGCCCCAGAGCACGTGGTGTCAAGATTTAACTGTGGCCCCTCCAGGGACTAGCCCCCTACTGCCTCTGCACCTCACAGGAGGGGAACGGAAGGGGCAAGAGAGGCTAGCCTCAGTGAAACTCTTCCAAGGTAACCCTACCAAAAAGGCAAGGAATTGGCATTTCATATCAGCCCCAGGCATGCAGGCTGTCCCGTGAGGACAGGGACCTCCTAAGTGAAGGAACCCTGGGCACCGTTGGCATCTGCTTGCTGCAGGCGCCATTTTGGATCCCTCCAGGCCCAGTGTCCTGAGAGCAGATCCCACCACCTGCCCTTCATGAATGCTGCTTGCCATCAGGGCTGCCAGCGAGGCCAGTGAGGAACACCAGTTCGCCTTTGAGAAAGTTGGGGGAGAGGGGCTGCTTTGGGATCCTCTTGGCCTCAGTCTTCTTTTCTCTCTGAGGACCCTGGGAAAGAAATGATGCATTTCCAGGGATGGAAAATGGGCCATGTTTGTGCCATGGGCTCTCTGGCCCTTGCATCTGCCTTTAGCCCTGAGCTGCTTATTGAGGTTTCCCTTGGCAGGCAGATCCTCTAACGAGGGCCCGTTTCTGTTTCCCCTGTAGTGTCCAGACTGCCGTGATCAATGTCTTCAAAGGGGGCGGCTTGCAAAGCAATGAGCTCTATGCACTGAATGAAAACATCAGGTATGTAGATGGCTCGGTTAAGGACCATTTCCCACCGTGGGTCTGAGCTGGGGCAGTGGGGGCCACCCCATTGGAAGCCTTAGCTTAAAGTTTTTGTCTGCTTGGTTCTTGTTGTTTCTGCAGAAACAACTTGTTGTTTCTGTTTACTGGCTCATATGGCTACTAAGTTCTGAAACCCTTATCTATCTAGACTTCCGGTCCACAAAGGGTTCATACATTTATTCCTGTGTATAGTGTCTGTAGGGGGGGCCTTTGTGTGGGGGGGGTTGACATAGGGCAGATGTCACATACTCTGTAAATATGGATTGTGCCCTGCTTAACCATTAGGTGCCACATTCGGCAAGATGGCCTCGTGGTTAGAACCAGACTGCTTGGGATTCTGCTGCCCTTGTTGCTTTTACCGACTTAAGTGACTTATTAACTTCTTTGTGCCCCAGTTTCCTCTTACATGAAACACGGATGCCTACTTCCACAGGATCCTTGTGAAGATTTAAGTTGGGTTATTGTATAAATGACCTGTTAGGACAGGGTCAGAGCTCACTTGGTACTGGGGGCTCTTATGACTGTACGTGTTGTCGCTGTCATTACGGTTTGGTGATACAACCCTCAATAAGATGTGGTCCTTGAGGGGTTTCTTGTCTTCCAGAATCTTCCCAGTTGTGTCAGCTTTTCATAGATTTATTCACTCCTTCAACAAATATTTGAGTGCCTCCTTACTGGCCAGGCACTGGAGAGGCAACACTGAGCAAAGACCGAGGTGGACCCTGCTGTCCTGGGATTTATATTAAGTCAGGGAGATCCTCATTGGTCAACTAACCATACCTGTAAAACGTAGAAGTGTGGCTTCGACAGCTGCTGTGAGGAAAGCACGTCTGTATGACTTGATCTTGCCGAGGCCACGAGTGATGTCCTACTCGTGCTCTCTTCTGGAGGACCAGTGGGAATTCACCAAGTGAAACTGCAGGTGCAAAGGTCCTGTGGTGGCATTGAGCAAGAATCCAAGAAAAGACCCATGAGCAGAGAATACCAGAAGTTGGGGGATGGGTGGTATGGTCGGATTTGTGTTTTGGACAGAGAGGCAGGCACAGCCCAGAGCGCCAGGATCTCCTGGGGACGGGAGGTTGTGCATCAGGCCTTTTAATGCCCTGATGTTCTTTCCTGTCTGGTGTGTTAAGTGCAGAACATCAAGGCTAAAGACCCAACCCTGGAATGGGCAGAACAGTAAACAAAGCCCTTATTTGGGTCCTGTTTACATTTAGTGAGGACCTGTGTTAAGGGTCAGTGAGGTGTTTTAAGAGCTCTGCTTTCATTAAAACCGTTAGGGCTCAGAAGTAAACTGAGGTGTGTTGAATTTCTACCCAGGAGCTTGAATTTCACATAGTAATTACACAAGTATGGGAAGAGACAATAGAGCTTGTCTAGCCCAAGGCCTCCTTTTACAGAGAAGGCAGCTGAGACCCCATGAAGTCAAGTGACAGGGACAGAGCTGGGTCAGCCAAACCCTGGGTTGCAAGAATTCTATTTTACTCCAAGAACTAAGATCCTGGCCTCTTTGGGAGGGTTCTTTAGCTCACAGTGGAAGTATAAATAAATAAAACAGTGACTCAGGAACGTGCTCATTGTTCCTCACTTTGGGAGACTGATCCTGAAATTGTACTTAAAATCTTTGTGGGCAGCTAGGAAAAGTACTGGGCCCGGCAGATTCCACCAGCCCTTTTATCCCCAGGGGGTTGCTAACTCAGAAGCCTTCAGGTTTCCAGCACGTCTTCTGAAGGCGGGAGGCTGGCCTGGATGCAGGGAGGTGAGAGTTCACCCTCTGTTGAAAGGGGATTGCGGATCGCCCTGGCAGGACGCGGGGCCAGTGACATGTCAACTTCTTTCTCAACCGGAAATTAAGACTTTTATGTGAAATTTCCTGGCTTTTAAACGTTGATAAATAATCTGAATTTCCCCCAAACATTAGTACAGGTCAAATAAAACACATTTGTGGGCTGAATGGGACCGGGAGGCCATCCACTGACAAGAGGAGCCCCAGCGTGCGTGAAGGCGTTGCTGGTGGGGGTGGGGGGCTGTCCCAGCACTAAGGCCGCCTGAGTGGGGGAAGGGAGCTAGTCTGGAAAAGCTCGGAGCACCTCTCAGCCCGCCCGACCCTCCTCACAGCCCCGTGAGGCGACCACTGTTTCGTGGTTTATCCATAAACTTGTGGATAAGAATAATAAACTCTCGTCCAAGGTCACCCAGCTCTAGAAAGGGTGGAGTCAGGATTTGAACCCCTGTCTCAGACACCTGTGTTCGTTTGCTCAGGCTGCCATAACCAATGCCACAGGCTGGGGGGCCTTCTACCGTAAATATTTACTTCTCACCGTTCTGGAAGCTGGGAATTCTGAGGTCAAGGGGCCAGCACATTCGGTTCCTGGTGAGAGCTCGGTTCCTGGCTGCCCACTCGCTGTGTCCTCACAGGGCCTCTCCTTTGTGTTCAGCAGGCTCTCCGGTTTCTTCTAAGGTCACTAATCCCATCTCGAGGGCCCCACCCTCATGACCTCATCGAAACCTAATGACCTCCCGAAGGCTCCATCTCCAAATAACCAGCACCCGGGGAGGGGAGGGCTTCAACATAGGAGTTTGACAGGGACACAGTTCAGTCCAGAGCAACACCTGTGTTCTTTGCAACATATTGTAGAGTCAGGGGTTTCGGACTGGAAGAAAGGTTAAACAGATGTTCTTGGCCTTCTGCTTTCCTTTCATGAGGCCTTTGGGACCCCATCTTCCATCATGTGCTGAGATTCTTAACACCCCTCTGAGAAGCATGACATCCCCCCCAACACTCCCTTCCAGTGTTGGGTCTAAGGGGTGGGGGGGGTGCGGCTGGCTGTTTCTTCCTATGTTTTGAGCAATTTTCAGGCTGGTGAGAGATACGTGTGGGGTTTGACACTGATTGCCCGGATGTGGCTCAAGTCCAGGAGATGTCAAAGCTGTCAAAAACCAGAGTTGCAGCTACCGATGTTCTGGACCTTCTCTCCTCTGGCCTTCTCCAGGAGAGTGGTTAGAATGGAGATGGGTTTTCACATCACAGACACTCAGAGTCTGACTGAGAACGTGCAAGGCATGCCAGGCATAGTGTGACCCGGTCCCAAGTGGAGTCAGGTGAGCCAGCCTGCACGCATGCCCACATCTGCAGGTGCCTGCATGGGAATGAACACAACTGTCCCTCATTTCAGCAATGAAAACGCCAGAACAGGCCTGCCCCTCTCTGGTTCACCTTCGTGGAGACATTTGGGTTTTGATTTTCCTTTTTCTTTTCTCTTTTGGAAGCAGGTCCATAAACCCGACAGGGTTGAAGCATGCCTAGTACGGAGGGTGTGTGTATGAGGGGGCGGGGGCAGAAGGGCAATAGGAATGTAGGGAAGAGAATGTGGAAGGAGAGAGGACCAGTGATTCTCAAGCCCACTTTGGCAGTCAGTTGTGATAGGTCTTTGTGCCAGAAGATCTGTGCCAGGTCCAGTAGAATTTTTTAACTTGTTAGGAGAGTCGTGTCCAGAGTCAGAGAGACTGGGAATCAAGACTAGACTAGCTGTGTGACCTTGGGCAAATAAGTTACTTTGTTTTTCTCAGTCTCTGTTTTTCCTTCTATAAAATGGGGATAATAATAGCACCAACCTCACGGTGGTTGGGAGGACTAGATAAGGCTAAACACGCCATGAGTACAGGGTCTAATGCGTAATAAATGTTAGCCGTTATTACTCCTATCCTTGTGAAATGTTAGCGATAATAAAGTGATAAAGGATGGACCAGGTATGAGAGCGCAGGGCAGTGTGGTGACTCACCACACGGACGGTATTGTGTAAAGATTCTTCTAGCAGTTTGGATGCGGTGACCTCACTTCGAAATAGAGAGGTCCAGGACGGGCTCCTCCAAGAATGTGCTGGACTTGAAGTTTGGGTGAGGCTGAGTTCTCACAAGGGGCCAGCTGTTTGTCCTTTCCACAGAGAAAAGAACGAGAGGAAATGACTCTCTCAGTTCTCCATTCTACTCAAGCCAAACGGTAATAAACTTTGATGGATTGTCCAAATCCAGAATCAAAGCTGAAATCAGTGTCCCCGGGTCACCCTGGCCAGCCCTGGCCTTCTTTCTAACGGTGGGGTTCGTACGTGCCTGGGAAGCATGAGTTCATTTAAACGTGGGTGGATGCAAAGGGTGACCGGGAAGATAGAGGTTTTATGTAACTAGGTTTTATAATGCAGTCATTACGAACACCTGGTCTTTCGGTCATCAAAAGTGAGTTCCAGTTTAAATTTTAGCAGGTAGACTTTGGAGTAGCCATGAGGAAGAATCTTGGTAACAATGGGCAAGTTCTAAAACACGTTGTTATTAGATCAAGGGAAGGATGTGGAGACCTCTTAACAAATTCGTCAGGAGTGTCACACCTCAATAAAGCAGCACATTTTCCCCAAACAAGTCAGGGCATATGGTCAGTCAGCATGAAGACCATAGATCAGAATTGCCTTAGAAAGCAGGACTTGCATGTTGTCATATCCCAAAAGGCAAGAAGATGACCCTTTAGAATAGACCTATTCTAGTGAGATCCCGGGTCCTCACAGTCTACGACTCTGCCTGCCCTAAAATTCCATCTGCCCTGACTGGAGCTGGTCCTGGATGTCCTCTTGGTTTAAATTCTCCGTGGGACATTGATGTGGTTTGTAATACCGTCCCCGGCCTCATTGCTGATGGGGCTGCAGTTTGGTAGTGGGGACGCCTCTGGGTCTGAGGTTTGGGTTTCGTGAGCTCTCCCGGGAACAAGAGTGGCCAAACTCCCTGACACACCAGAGCACGTTCTTCCTGAACATTCTTGTCAGCCAACGACTCTACCGATGGTGTGTGACCACAAAGGGTTAGCAGAGTGTGAGAAACCTATGATTTTCATCGACTGGTTCTTATAAGAACCCATGCAGGTGCTTTCACTTTTTGCTTGGTGGGGGGTGGTGTGGAGGGAGAAGTCAGAG